CCAGCACTGAGTCAGGAGGACCTCAAGTCTGAGACCAGGCTGGGCTTCCTAGTGAGACCCTGTCAAAAAAAAAAAAAAAAAAAAAAAAAAGCGGAAGAGGCTTACAGGTTAGCTCAGTTGTTTAAAGCACCTGCTTGGGCAAATTCAGGCACAGGGACGGTGGTTCAGTCCCCACCTCCACAACCACACCAGCTCTGCCCTTAAGGTAGCTTGAGCTAGCTGCCAAAAAAAAAAAAAAGAGGAGGCAGGAGAGTCAGGACAAATCTTGTTTTGTTGACTTCGTTTATTTTGCTACTATAATGACATTCCATTGACAGGATAATTTATAAACAGCAATTTATTTTCTCATTGCACTTTGGGCTTGGGAGTTCAAAGTGAAAGCACTAAGAGGCTTGCTGTCTGGTCTCCCTCCCAAGATGGTGCCTTGTCCTGCTCCAGCACAAGTGCTGTGTCCTCCCCAACAGAAGAGCAGGTTGGCTCCCGGCATTTCTGTAGAGTTGATAATCCCATTCATGAGGTCTCTGCCTTCATGACGTAGTCACTTCAAATACTAACGTGTTGGCAATTCAGTTTGAACACATGGTTTGAAGGGCCATTCATTCCACAGCACTGGCCTCACCCTGCTAAACTATAGCAGGGGTCCTATGAGGATACAGCCTTTCTGGGGACGCCCAAGGGGTATGGTCTGGGCCTCACCTCTTGGCTAGGAATGGTGGATGCATAGACACATCACTCCTGCCCCACTACAAAGAGCTGGTGGTGTTGTGGTTTACACCTATGATCCCAGTACTCTGGGAGGCTGAGACAAGAGGATCACAAGTTCAAGCCCAGCCTGGCAATTTAGTGGCCCTGCTTTTTGTGGCCCTGTTTTCTGTTTTAATATACTTAGTATAGGGTCTCACTATGCAGCTTGGACTCATAGTGGTCCTCCTGTTTTCAGCCTCCCCAGCGCTGGGATTACAGGTGTGCACCACCACGCCTGGTCTTGGTGGCCAGCTCAGCACACCCAGGGATGGGGCCAATGCAGCATGTGGTGCCAGGTATTGAATCTTGGTCCCTGTGCTTGCCTAAGCAGGCGCTTAGTCTGCTAAACTATCTCGCCAGCCCTTAGTGGCCCTGTTTTTAAGAAAGTTTTAAAAAAGAGTTTGGAACGTAGCTTAGTGCAAAGGCCCAGGGTTCAATTTCCATGCCCCCCCCCAAGACTACTCAAGGCCCGCCCAGTTGTAGGGCTGAGGACAATGTAAAGTGATTTGTGTGCATTTGATGGCCAGATGACGTCCCTCCAGATGCAGAGAAAAAACAGCTCCTGACCAGAACCCAGAGTGGGATGTGAGAGCACCCCTTGCAGAGCCCGCTGTGAGTGGGCCGGGCTCCTCCCCCCGAGGAGTCTGAGCCCCCGCCCCAGCCGTGTCCCCTGGCATTTGGGCAGTGCCCTCTCCTCTAGTGACTGTGAGCTCCAGGGCTGGGGGTGGAGTGGGGGTAAAGAGAAACTTGGAAACACAGAATGAGAAACAGCTGAACTCAATTCTACCAGGAAATCACTGAATTAAAATGTCTGCATCAGAGAAAAGACAGGCTCAGAGACTTGAGTCAGAGGAAACAGAGTTTTTCAGGTTTTGATTTTCTGTGGTGCTGGAGAAGAAAACCAAGGGCATTGTGCCTGCTGAGCATGCGCTGTACACTGAGCTACAGCACCTCCAGCCCTGATGTTCTGTTTCTTTCTTTTTGTGGAGCTAGAGATTGGACCAAGGACCTCATATATGCTAGGCAAGTGTTCTACTGCTGGGCTACACCCCTGGCCTTTTTATTTTTTCATTTTGAAGTTTCTTTCTTTTTTTTTCTTTCTTTCCTTCCTTCCTTCTTTCTGTTGTCATTGTTTTTTGTTTGTTTGTTTTTGGTGGAACCGGAAATTGAACTCAGGCCCTTGTGCTTGCCAGGCAAGCACTTATTCTACTGAGTTGTCTCCCTTGTCCCGTCATTGTTTGTTTTGTTTTGTTTTTTTTTTTTTTTTCAGAACCAGGGATTGAACTCAGGCCCTTGTGCTTGCCAGGGAAGCGCTTATTCCACTGAGCCATCTCCCTGGCCCCCAGGCAGTGTTATAAAGAATCCTACCCTATATGCATGGCATTTTACATCCACTTTAAAGAAAACTGAGGCACAGCAGGGGTGGGACGGATGAAGTCAGTCAAGTTTAGGAGGAAAGGCTGGAGCCGGGACGGAACGAGGAAGAGCACCCAGGACCCCGAAGGCGGGGCCCGCGTGCGCGCCGGCGCAGCGCTCGCCCGGGCCCCAGCGGCCCCGCCCCCTGGGTCTCCAGGGCAACAGCCTCCGCACATGCGCCTCGGCCCCACCACGCTGGGCGGGCTGCGCTCCCTGGAGAGTACGCTGGCGGGGGAAGCCGGCATCCTAGGCTAGGCCAGGCAGGCGGGGTGCGCAGCGTGGGCTTTTAAAGGGACCCCTCTTCACTGCAGCTGGTCCCTGGCGGGGACTGCTCTCGGTAAAGGCTGAGTGGCCCAGAGAGTCGGGATCGGGGAGGTGGAGCAGGGCAGGCCTGCAGCATCTCGCTCCGCCCCCGGAAGTGGTTGGGTCGGATGCTTTAAGGAGGGGTTGTACAAATACTCTTCCTGGGGAATAATGGGCTCCTGTGGTCAGCAGCAGGAGCAGGAAGGTTAGGGGCTTGCCTCTCGGTGTGGCGAGCTGGGACCCTGGGCGAGTGAGAGGGCAGTTAGGAGGGATCACAGGTCCGGCTTCAGGGAGTTACGCCTCCCTCTCTCGCTCTCCGCGGTCTGCCGCTCCTACCTTGTGGGCGCGCTCAGTCATGGCCAGACCCGTGCACGGCTCAGTGATTGTCCCAGACTGGCACGAGACGGCCGAGGGCAAGGAGTACTTGGCCTGTATCCTGCGCAAAAACCGCCGGCGGGTGTTTGGTAAGTGCCCCCCCCCCGCCTGTCCCATGTCGCTCCCTGGGGAGGACAGTGTCACCTGTTACTTTGTGGGGCTGCATAGAAGCACAGCAGTGAGGCCCTGCTCCTGTGTGCTTGTTGGCTTTGGGGGCCCCTAGAAGCCTCATCGTTGGGGGCCCCTCCCCTAGATCTCCCAGAGCTGATTCCATTAACAGAGCCAGGAACGTGGAAACAGCCATAACCCTGCCAGCACCTTCTGTCACCAGAGATGCTGGTGATTGAGCCCTCCCCTGGTGGTGGGCCCTCTGCTGGGCACTGGCCACACTTCTCTCAGTGCATGTAGGGGTCCTGCTCTAATAGGCAGAGGACCGCCTCTTCCATCCCTGCTGTCCCCAGGGATACAGCCAGTGTTACCGGCTGTTGCCACCATGACTGGCCTTAGTGTATGGTTGCAATACATAATAGTTATATTTATCTTGGGATTGCTAGTTGTAAGTTAAAAACACATGTAAAGGTCTCAATACATTGATTGTATATGGTTTATTTGTAGTAATTGAAAATACTTTTGTTGATATTTAAAAGAAGGAAAGCTAGGCACAGGGGTACATACCTGTAATGGCAGCAACTCAGGAAGCTGAGGCAGGAGGATCACAGGTGTTTTTTTTGTTTTTGTTTTTGTTTTTTGTGGAACCAGGGATTGAACTCAGGCCCTATGCACTTGCCAGGCAAGCACTTACTCTACTGAGCCATCTCCCAGGCCCTGAGGTTCATAGTGTTGATCACTTAGTGACAATCTGTCTCAAACTGAAAATATAAGGGCCAGCCAAATAGCTCAGCAGATTAAAGCGCCTACAAGCAGGCACATGGACCTGGGGTTCAATCCCAGGGGAATGCCCTGCCGCCGCCCCTCCCCCCATGCACTGAGAAGCAATTGAGACTGGGCATGGTGGCATGATCCTGTAATCCCAGCTCTTAGGAGGCTGCAAACAAGATGAAGTTTTTTTTGGCAGAACCTGGGATTGAACTCAGGCCCTTTGATTGGGCTCAGGCCCTTGTGCTTGTCAGGGAAGTGCTTATTTCACTGAGCCATCTCCCCAGCCCCAAGGAGGCTGCAAACAGGCAGATCACTACAAATCTGATCTAGTAGTGAGACCTGAACACCCTGTAGACCCTTCCCTAAAATTAAAAAAAAAAAACCAAAAAAAAAAAACTAAAAATATAAACGGGACTGGGCCCTGTGCATGCCTGTAATTCTAACACTGGGGCGGCTCAGGCAGGAAGGTCATCATGATTTGGAAGCTATCCTGGGCTACATAGGGAACTACATAGGGAGACCCCTGTCTTAATAAAACAAGGGGGGGTAATAGCTGGAATGTTCCTCAATAGTAGAGAATTCCTGAGAGAGAGGGAGGGAGGGAGAGAGAGAGAGAGTGCTCAGGGTCTCACTACTAGATTGGACTTGTAGTGATCCCCTGTTTACAGCCTCCCGAGAGCTGGGATTACAGGCGTGTGCGACCACGCCCAGTCTCAGTTGCCATCTCAGTGCACTCCAGGTGCAGGGCCAGCACAGCGCGCTGGGCATGGAACCGCAGTCCCTGCATCTGCCTAGCAGGTGCTTTAATCTGCTGAGCTATCTGGCCTGCCCAATAATTTCCTTTTCAAAAACAGGGTGGAAGGGGAAGAGAGAGAGACAGGGGGTGAGGGAGGGACGGAGAGGGAGGGAGAGAGACTCGCCACAGTGCCCAAGTTCGCTTCAAACTCCCGGGCTCAAGCAGTCTTCCTGCTTCCGCCTCCTGAGTGGTTTATACAACAGGTAGGTGCCACCATGCCTGGGGCCGCATTTTGCCCTCCAAGAAGTTAGCACAGGTGTAACTGACATGGCATCGTTTTTTTCTTCTATCCCCACAGTAGTGGGGACACTGGATGTCAGGTCACCCAGACCCAGGCTTGACTCAGACTGTGCCACCACCTAGCTTTGTGATTCTGGAGGTGTGAAACCAGCCTCAGGTTCCTCCTCTGTAAAGTGGGGTGAATCCTGGGGAAGTGCATAAGGAGCGTGTCCGAAGCGGACTGAGCAGTGAGTGTTTGCTGAGGGTTGACTTTGTTTTTATTTTTTAGTACTAGAATTTGAACCCAGGGCCTTCACACTGAGCTAACTCTCCAGCCATTTTTATTTTTAATTTTGAGGCAGGGTCTTGCTAAATTGCTCAAGCTGGGCTCAAACTTGTGATTCTCCTGCACATGTGCACCACTGTGCCTGGCTAAGTGTGGACTCTTAGGGTGTTCATTGTGTGATCCATTGTGTTGATGGAACAGGTGAGAGGAAGTGGAACCAGTATCTGGGAGTCACTTATGCAGAGCCACAGACCTCGTTATCTGGGTCACAGTCCTGAGAAGCCAGAACTTAACGGTGTGGCAGTGGCTGTTTGAACTTTTCTTACAGTACAAGGGGTCAAACCCAGAGTCTGTTGCATGCTGGACAGGCCCTCTACCACTGAGCTACATTGCTTGGCCTTTTAAGTTTTACTTTGAGACAGAGTCTTACTCTAGGGTCAAGGCTGTCCTTGAACTCACAATCCTGCTACGTCAGCCTCCTCAGCACCTGAAATAACAGTCATGTACCCCCATGCCCCAGCTATAAATTTGAATTTTTGGAGTGTCACACTTACCAGAAGGTACGTTGGGGTTTAATAGCTGGGGATGCCCAACTCAGTGTGCCATCCAGGGCTCCAAAAAGCTCAAGCACGGCTGATAAATAGAAATAGGTTTTAGTATATTAATTGTGAAAATTTATTTT